ACCTAGGTCAAGGGTTCCGTGGGGAATTTCTGTTCCTAGTAGACCTGATCATACGGTTTGCAATATTAAATGTGATGTCCATTCAAGTTTTCCATATGGCTTTTATTGCTATTTGCGATATTTTCTTTGTAGATATACGTTTGGTTCGACGCGCTGATGAACTACCTAACAGCTGGAAAGGTGTCAGGGGTTGGCGATAGTGAAGCCATTTGGCCACCTGAAATTCAATTTATCGGAAAAGACATTTTAAGGTTTGTAGATCCTAATGCTTAGATAATATTTTCTGTTGTATAATTTGTCTTATGCTTATTCATTAATTTGCAAGACAATCTAGGGTGCATAGCGTTCTTAAACATGTGTGCTATAGCAGTCCAGGTTTTCACTGATTTAGTTGGTATTTGTTATCTAATGTTTGTAATTCAATAATTTTTTTCATTATCCATCTTCATCTCTTTATATACACTGTTGGAGGATCTGAAGAATTGCATAGCCATAGCAATAGTCCGTAAATTATCACTTTTCTTTCCAGATTTCATGCCATTCTCTGGCCGGCAATTTTGATGGCCCTGGGTCTACCACTCCCAAAGCTGGTTATTCCTCACGGTCATATTCTTGTGTCAGGTGTTAAGGTAATGCCTAATTACTTAAAACTTTTCTCGGTATTTACAAACTAAACTTTTGTTCAATGTAGTGTTGTTTCCATAACAACTGATTGTAATAATTATCCGTTCATATATTACATTAGTGCACCTTATGCTAGTATAAGTTATAGCATCCAGTATTTTCTCCCGAATATCAATTCACATTTGTTGACTTAAGGAGTATTTATTTAGCTTGTTTTGCTCACAATTTTATGCAATAAAATACTGTTTCATTGTAGATGTCCAAAAGCCTTGGGAATATTGTGAGTCCTGATGAGGTGCTGAATCACTTTGCTTCCTTTTTCACTGGAAGTGATAGCTTCACAGAGCCAGAAGTTTATTCGGTGACAACAGATTGTCTTCGCTACTGTCTTATTCGCAGCGCCTGCTTACAGGAAGATATCACATTCAGTCTTCCTCTTGCAATTGAAACTGTCAATGCGGAGTTGGTTAACTCCTTGGGCAATCTGCTCTCAAGGTAAACAAGAATTCAACTGCTTACATTATTTGTTCTGCGCCTTTTTGCTATAATGTTGAATTCCTTCTTGTTTCGCTAGGATTTCTTCCAAGAAGGTAACTCCAACTCACACTGCGCCAATTCTTGACATTGTGGAGGCTCAAGATTTTATGTCGGACCCTTTGGATGCTGAATTTTTTAACGAGTGAGTTTAAGTTTTAGTTCAGAGTTGTGTATCCACTGAGTTGTGTCCCATGTCAATTCAGGAAGTATCCACATTTCTGCATCGGAAGTCAATTTCGTTACAAGCAAGATTAGTGAAAGAGCTGTCGAAGAGATATTGGGCTTGCGAACTCAAAATGTCAAGGGTCCTTACATTTTTGGGTCGCAGTTGTTTAGTTTTTATAACAAGTTTTAGGGTTCGTTTGAATTAATTATTTTGATTTCCTTTTATCCATTGAATTGAGGTAATCTCTTTATTTTTCACCTAGGTTTTCATTGCCCGATTTTGGATATATCCGATTTCACTTTGATTATACCCTTTTTACTGTTCACTTCTTAATTTAATAATGTTAAGCTGCTAACTACAAAACCTCGGGCGGCTATATCTCTCTCTAAGTCACTTTAACACTACTCCAAATTTAATCGAGTTCAGAAGTCAGAAAAGTGGTTGAATATGATTCCTTTGGCCATTTGTTTACTACTTGATGTTATCACCTAAATAGACTATAATATTGATTTACTTTAATGGAATGACGATCAATGGGTTATAAGTAGACTCATTAAACTTGGTTTCTTAGAATGTGAATGCGGTATACGAAATGAGTGTACCACCTTGAGATGCAAACTTGTGGCCACATAAATTTGCAATAACATTGGCTATTTCCCCTTCTACAGTCTCAGAAACCTTCCTTCCACAGTGGATTCCTTATGGTTTGATCATCTGCAGCCTCATCACTGCGTGGACGCTGTTATGCGGGTAGTTCGTCATGCCAACGCTTTTGTCGACCGACATCGTCCGTGGGATACAAACAGGTCGTCCTCCAAAACCGTCGTGGGAGTTACTCTGGAAACACTCCGATTAGTTGGCTGTCTCCTCTCACCCTTGATTCCCACTTTGTCCAACCGCCTTCTATGTGGAATTGGACTGGAGGAACAGGCTCTTAGGTGTTTCACTTGGCGATTGCCAAATGATGGACCTCTTAAACGACCTCTTATACCGAGATTCAGACCCTAACCTTTTGTATAATATTTTGCAAATGTGTAGCAGTATATAATCATTCAAATAATAGTATTTATTAGCTAAACTAGTTTTTTATGTAAGTTGGATATTCTGAGCACTATGATCAACAATTGAATATTGGTGAGAAGTCGTGTTGGATTTGCCCATTGTTTTCGATTCTCCAACCTCATACGATTCAATGGCGTTATTTCTTTCATAGCATACCAATCCCGCAGTGTCTAAATGCACAACGCGTAATTAGCTCTTTCGAATGCTACTCCTGAGGTTGCCACACCTTAGAGCCGTTACATTGCCGACATAAAAGTCGAGGGATTGTTGCGTTTTGGGAGGCTTCATAGCATAGAATCCATGCCTAGTGGTTGATTCAGGAATACTCGGCTCATTGAATAGTTGGAGGATTCAGGGAGATCATTGGTGATTCGCAGGGCTTGTTCGTCGACTATTGTAATATCCGTTTAAGGTTCATGAAGTGATAAAGATATCAACTGATCAAATGCCAATTTCATGCAGGATGGGGTAATAGATTGCTAAATCTTCACTGTAGATTTCTCAAGCTTGTGAAATGATCGTATTACCACCATTACGAAGAGGACGTCATTAAAACATTCAAATTTGCTGAGGTACTGGTGGTATTAAAGAGAGTAGTCTAAACTAGCCGCCGAAATGGTAAAGTTGATGGTCCGTGTTTTGGAAAAGGAAACAGGTGATGGCCCCAACTTTCAAATTCAGGACCTAAACGTGGAGAACTCATTAGCTAAAAAACTGGCTCTTAGAACCTAGTAAAATGAACCCTTTCACAGAATAAGAATTTTGTCAAAATATATCGAAATAAAGTGACTGTGTAAATTGAATTTAGTTTTATACATTCATAGCTGTATAAAAAATGAATAAAGAAGGAAAATATCTGGGATTTAGGAGGTTGGTAAAGGACTCTGAGATGAGATAAGAATTTTATCAAATAGTGTCCAGGTTATCACCGCAAAAATGGATCGTCGAGTAAGACGGAGGTAGAATCCACGCCATGGTCCAGTAATTCCGTCAATCCGGACCGTTTCACGCAGGACTTGTGTCCAGGGTGTTCGATGAGTGGCCTAAAATGATCATATTAGAAAGATTTACGTATAATCCCAACTACTAATATAAAATCAGTAGTATTGAACTAACCGTGGTGATGGAAAGCTGACGATTTGACCGAAGCACATCAGCAGGTTGTGTTACAGCAGTAGCGCAGAACGCCGCAAAAAAGGCACAGAGGCTAAATAAATAAGTCGGGATATCCTCCGGAGGTGTTCTATCTATATCAACGCAGAAGTGTTATTGTGAATTGCACCAAATTACTTGGTATATTTAAATGTACAAAATAGACTTGATCGCAGTTTCTTAAAAATGTGACCTAGCATTTTAAATAACTAACACTTCACAAGCTGTAGATACGCTTAAAATGCACCCAAAGTTTGCATATGATTCAATTAGCGTGCCGGTAGCACAGTGATCAGCAATCACATCTATCAAATCAGGGGTCAAGCGAGTAAGGTTAGGGGTGTGGCTAACTAACCACTCCTGCTAATTCTGATCAATAATAGAAGTGGTACGATATGTAAGTTTTCCGTAAGCGCGACTAAAAATTACCGAAATCAAATATTATGACCACTCTGTCAGATTATTTAATTTGAATAATGAAATGCTAAGATTTTAAAGGCATGGGATTCTATTCTAGAAAAGAAGTCGATTTAATTTCCATTGTCGCAGTTCGTCAGATATTCCAAATATTTTTCGCACAAACTGGCAATAAATGCATTCTCGCCTTTATAGTTCCAGAAGATTTAGCCTACACAAACTAAAAGCTGTAGACTTGACAATGGGAACATTTTAGGACATAACAGAGCTCAATAAAGTAGGCTCATCAGAGATAAACGCAAGTATATATGCAAAGCTGTAGTGCATTCTACACTTATAAGTACAACTCCAATGAACAGGTCAAAAGATGAATGAACCTGTCAGAACCTTAACACCAGAAACCTTTTTTTTAAAAAAAGCTTTCGCAGAATGAGGCTTTAAATTAAAAACTACTCACCAGGAATAGTAAAGTTTTTAAATTTGTTGTAGAAAAGTAGATATAAGCCGGAATAAGGGCTGTCTCGCGCAAGAGTCGGGACCAAACCACTGTAAATTCCTATAAATAATTTAACAAATGAAAGTTAGAAAATAAATAAATTTCGATACTAATTATTTCATTTTGAAGTAAAGTCTTCGTTGAGGCAAGCAGATTAGAAAGAACTACCGTTTTACTAATGTTAGAAGTAAATTGGGTAGGTCTTATCAAACTAAAATATCACACGTGACACTCACAGATGTACATCCATTGAAGAACAAAAAAACAGAAGAGAATAACAAGATTAGAACAAGAATTTCCAATGAGCCGTTAACCTATCTGTTTGCTCACTAAAAACTCCATAATAGATCATGAATACATCGAAAAGCAAAAATCAACAACCTTTCAGCTTGGTAGTTTTGTAAATCCAACGAAGCGCCTCAAATGTTGATCGATTTTGGCTCAGTCCAGCCTCAGCTTGAGCTTTAACTACCGTGAAGGGAAGCAAGACAGTTCCCACAATACATCGACTTGTAAAACCCAGAGAGAAAGAATTTAAAGAGGGAGAACCACTACTAAAGTGAAATACTGTAAGGAAAAAGATTATAATTTACCTTGACAAGTATGGTTGAAGTAAATTTATTGTGCTAAAATAAGCACAAACACCGGGAACTGATCGCCATAAAGAGGGGATAGTTCCTGCCCAAAACGCTCGTAAACGAAATGACAAGTGGTTTTGAGATGGAACTTCTGACCATAAAGCTGTGGCAGTTTTAAAAACACCAACACTTGAGTGACTAAAAAATAATATAATTGCAAATTTATTACGCGCTGAGGATGGGAGGGCCTTGTAGTCGAGTTTTAAGGACATCGAGAGGCTGAGTAACTAATACACCTAGAGTAGATGCTAGAGCACTACCGATTAAAACTTGGTCTGGCGGACGAGAGCACGAACGATTTGTAATTAGTTGATTTGACATAAGGATATATTTACATCCGAATAGAAAACGGTGAGTAAGATTTGTTCATTCAATGTGTTAACAGTGGTGGCATATTGAGAAAATAATTACGTAAATCATGGCAAAACGTGCACTCGTAGGTTTGCAAATATTTGGCATGGATCTTACTGGTTGAGAGAATTTTGGCGCTGGATAATGCGACCTTAAGAGATGAAAATATACAGAGGATAGGCAAGTCCAAACTTCAAATTTTAAGCATTATCGACATTTTATGAAAACATTAGGGACTGAATCGACGGATAAACTTAAGCATTTTAGACGTTATTGTGATTGATTTGCTATGCTAAGTTATTGAATATACTAGCGAATTTGAAAACACTAATAACACGCATCTCAACTGAAAGTGTCTGATTATAAAAGTTAAAAAATCATAGCTGTTAGTTATTTTTGTATCTATTAATTATGTACTTGTACATATGATGGTAACAATTTCATAACAAAATCATTTATGCTCTAATCAATATGCTGAAATAAAAACATTACCGAAATCGTTACTGAAAATATTTAGAAACCCTTTAGGATTAATAACCTACCCAATTGTCTTTGGGTGAGAAAAGATGAAATCATTCTTGAAGAGGGATCAAGTCATGAAATCCTAACAATGGGACGTTCTAATTCGAGGAAGTAAAGACCATAATGTCTGAATGGAATAGGAAAACTTTGAAGTTGACTTTATAGAAAATGTTATCTTTTTCTTTCTCGCTTTCTCTTGGCCGCAGTAAGACTCTTCCAAACGCCTACAATAATGTCAATAACGAGATGATCGTTTGGATCTAAAAATTAATTCCTAACTTGCCTACAAAAGCCTAAAGGGCTAGAATGAATAAGATTAATCACAAAAGAAGAGTGAATTGAATGGTCCGGGAATGTGGAAAGAACTTGAATTTACGTTTTTAAAAGCAAATATCATAGTTATTATGAATGCCATTTGGGAATATATTCGTACGACGTTCTTCGAATGCATTATTTCAAATCATTATAGTTAGAATTTTAAACAATGAGAAGAATAATGGGGAGTTCAGTGGATTTATTACGCATGGTTATTTCTAGATGAAATCTGCTGGCTTCGCTATCGACGCTGGGAAAATTATATTATTTGATTCAAATTTTTAGATTTTCCAGGTCACTTTTATTTTTAAAATGGGCAAAAATGACAAATATGAAAGAATCGATAGAATTTGCTAATGATGTTGATTTTGTTGGAACATTTTTATGAAAGCTGTTCAAAGTTTTCTATCAATTTTGATTTTCAAAGAAGAATTTACTTCTTGATATTGTGAAAGTAAAAGATTCTAAAAATTTCTCCTTCTTTTCCAAAAAAGCTATGTACCTGAAGCATTTATCTAAGTAGTCTGTAGGGCGCGAACATATCTTAGAACATTGATTTAGCAACCAGCGGACGGAACCACAGAATTAAAATGTCCGTTATCCTAATCTCAAGGTCTAACTTTGAAATATTTTTTTTTAAATCTAATCGTCAGCTTTTGGATGGTTATATTGTCTCATGTATTCAAATGTTTACCAGGGAGAAATTTTGCTTTACTATATAGCCGGTTTGGGAGTAGTAATAATAAGTCTTATGAACAGAGAAATTGAGTCTGTTGGGGTCTGTTGAGAGCAAACTGGAGACTTTTTTAAATTCTGCGAGGGTGGTAATCGCGAGTCTAGGCATCCCAAAGCAATGATATACAAAGAGCTAGATAGGCGGATTCCACCGTAAAACCCATGGTGCTATCAGTTTTATTTTGATAATTTAAACAGCCAATATATTATGGTCTCAGATAAGTCGCCATGGCTAGGACAGTCATTGATGCCTATTGCTTTCCCTAAAAGCACAATTCCACACCTCATGAGAATCCGAGCCAAATCAGATAATATGATGGAAACGATTGCATGCGATTGTCTGCACAAAAGAAAGCAGTACACCTCCGATATGTTCACAGATACTCAGCTAGATAATCAAATAAGGACTTCAAATATTCGTTTGCCAGTCTTTTTAAAGGTAGAGGAGGTTTGAAAACCGCATGGAAAGTAGATTTAAGGATATTTTCGCAGGACCTTTAGAATAGGTGTATCCCCCTTCTGTGCTATAAGGAAGTAAACACCGAATCTCATTGGAAAGTCTCGCCATACTTTCTTAATCATCTCCCTCAACCGAAACCTGTCGTTTGTTAAGCCAAATAGTAAAATCATAAAAGCAATCTTTAAAAAATAAATGGTGAGGTATATTTGCACTATTCTATATAACAATAACTATGCGCAGAGAAAACAAACGCCTACTGGACAACGAATAGAGTTCGTATTTTCAGGATTTGACAGAATGTCCAAAACAACTGAATCAGGAACGCATCGCTTAACTCGAACCATTTCCTACAAATTCGGTTGGCTCAGAACTTGGTTTACTACTCCTAATTCTTCCTCCGTGGCCATAGTGAATCCCCTTTGAGTTTGAGTATTTATGCATACAATGACCATAAAATTCAATTTTTAATTATTTCATTTTAAATTCAAGTTTAAATTCAGAGAAAAAATCATTTAACTTATTAAAGTCTGCTATGAGTGAGCACATGTGTTGAAATGTTTCTCCCTAACAACATACAAATAGTTTGATGTGACATGAGTGATTTTGGAGATTATTAAACTGATCACTTACTTCTGATAATTAAGTTAATGAGGGAGACCATGGACTTCTAATAACTGTCATAATTAATGGGGAAGAAGATTTCTGAAACCTTCAATTCATTATCTGTTTCTCCCTCACTCCACCCCGCCACTCTCCCCCCCCCCCCCCCCCCCCCCCCCCCCCCACCCCCTCCAATATCCTTTAACATACTGGGCTCATTTACAGATCACTTGATTTAAGCGCTATCCTGTGATTTAAACGTTCAAACTTTATGTTGTCCAGGGTAATAGTAACAACTAAATTGTCTAAATTGTCCAAATCCATTTACAAACTCTGAGTGCTTGACTATTGGTAATGGGAATTATAAAGGATAAATTAAAACTAGCATGAACTTTAAACGCATGGAAATAATTTTCATCAGATGAGAGAATTATAAACTTTAAAGCTAGTGAAAAGTGAAGACAAGCTACTGTTTGATTAATTTTGCTTTTGAATAACTTATTACTAAACTTAAATTTGAAACAAACGTTGGGAATTACACTTTTCCCTTGCGTTAAATGAGGAGCCCAATACCGATTTAAAATTGATTTAAATGGGTCAGAATTGTCAATAGGTAGGAGACCTGTAGTAGGTTCTGCTGTACTACGATCATTTAGGGTTGTGCTTTAGACGTACCTGTAGCGGATTGCTGCACCAGTAAAGCCTGACTGACTCAGAAATCTCTATGGCAGAGATAACGTGCAATGACGTGGTGCACCCTGGGCAACATATACTCACACGGCAAAAAAAGTCCATAAACCGGCAATTGACTTCCCATTTCAAACTACCTTGACCCCACTGAATGTCATATTCCACCCCTATCACAGTACTCATCTTACCTTTTCTCTACCTTAATGTTCGCCTGTCTCTTTTACACCTGTGAATCACTCTTCTGTTCCTCCTCTCGATTTTTCTCGCTTTGTTATCCCACCAATCCCCTCTGTGAAGCCCGAAGTCAGCTGAAAGGATAATGATAACTAACAAGACCCCTGCCATTTGTCATGACGAGCATATAATCTATTAGAGGTTACTTAGGAACATCGATCCGATCGATGATGCCTATTAATATTGCTCAAGTTAACTCCCAAAATATCTAAAAAAACAGAGGAGGACGAATTATAAGAACTCGACAATTTGTATACCAGTTCGCTCAAAAAATCCACTTACAAGGCTATCTATTCACATTGCAAACAACGGGTTATTGTGAAAAGGTTTTCTTAATATTTTCAAGAAGAAACACATAAAAGTAAATATTAATATTGGCAGTGAACAACATTTAATTATATTCCTATGTTTATTTTCAACTTGACATATTGGAGCTTTGATTAGAAGATATAGTACTTCATACTTCAACTGGAAGAAATTCATCTCTGAACGACTTTCAAAGGTTGAGAAATTGTGGAACCCTTCATTTTGTTTCTGGGACTTGGTTAGGAAATTGTTCGTATGAATAAGATTCAATTAGTTTCTTGACTCAGATGAAGTCTCTGTGACGAGAGACTGCAATAAACTCAATCTCAAGGCCATGAATCTTCGGGATATAAAATTTACCTCAATGCGGTGAAGCCAAACTGGTAAGAATTCGGATAAATGATTTCTTGACCTACCCTTGATCGTTACTTAATAGTTAGTATTTTTTCTTAATTAGTCTTCTACTTCTAATCCACCAAAAAAAATACATGAATTTAGACTAACCACCACTTCCACCACCTCACTAAAAGTCAGACTTCTCCATCACCACGAAGTAATCTCAAGCTACATTGGCGACTGATGTGATAGAGTCAGTTCACCTCCATTAAACCCTTTGTTCTTAGTGAAGACCACTAGAAGTTGGAGGGACATTGGACCTGGAAGAGGCCATGACACAGAGAAAAAGTAAGTGTTAATCTCTCTTCAAAACTTATTTTATTTAATAGAGACTGTAGACCGCATAATATACTTGTTCCAATATTATTAAATGTGGGGTATACGAAAGACTTACCTCCACGTGGTGCATCCTGGGCAACGTATACTCATACGGTAAAAAGTCTATTAACCGGCAGTTGACTTCTGACTTCAAACTACAATAACCCCACTCGATGCCATATTCTACCACTTCCACAGTAATCATCCCACCTTTTCTCTGCCTTTGTGTCAGTCTCTTTTACAACTGTAAACCACTCTTCTGTTCCCCTTCCCTCGACTTTCTGTTACTTTGATGTTCCTTCCCCCTGTGAAGCCCGAAGTCAGCTAAAGGGCTAATGATAACTATCAAAACGCCTGCCATTTAAAATAAATATTATCAAATGTTATATCCAAT